ATAAGGGGAAAAGTATATTATAAGGATATATACCATTCAACCCATGAACCCATGAATACGTTATGGCTTAATATACGTAACTACACGGCAGAGTTACATCGTAGGGAATATCCGAAAATTAGCTTCGTTACTGATCACTTGACTGTGGTACGCGTTACCGAAGCTTGATACGCTTCGCCACTACTCCATAAGTAGGCACCAAGATTGAAGGCAAAAGGTACTTGGCAAGTGATGGCGATGAAACAAAGAAAGTGAAAAAGAAAATTATTAAACAGATTTATTGTACCGCTAAGCTTGCCCCGTAATACGTAGTACCATTTTGCGGAGCAATGCCTACTTTTCTTTCCGTATAAGCTGTTGCCGTTGCACTTACATTTTTCCGGTTGATACTTCAATATGAATCCGCTTTTTTCGACCTTGTCGTCGGAGACAAAATTTAAGTACAATTTCTCAGAAGACGTCGTGAACTCCCACGGGCGTAAATCACCGCAGAACCGGCCAATCCTGGTAGCGGTTTCGAATATACCGTCATGAATCTAAGAAAAGACGAAGTATTTTGTGCAAGTGAATTTGTCTCAATACAACAAGTTACCTCGAGGTAGTCTGGACATCGACCGTTGATTTCTTTTTCCAGCGAAAAACTGATCACAGTTACGTGAAAAACCATATTAGATCTTGTGATCAACTGCCATTCGCAGTTAAGGAACCGATCGTACTTTCCGCCATTCGGGCTTGTTGGCGAGGACAAAGTGCCCGCAGATTTAGCAACGATGAAGCCACCACACCCATCGTTAGGGCCTAAACAGTATACCTGTAACTAATTTTAATCATATAAGTATTAACGACTTAAAATGAGGGTAATTTTCAATTTATGTGTTTTCATCTTTAGCCATTCCTTTCGAGTAGAAGGGCAGCAGCCTCAAGAAGCTTTAGCGATGGTCCCGGTCATCTACCAATCGGATAGCTTCCGTTGACTGAATTTCTGGATTTCTGGAATTAAACATTAATGCCCGCTAACGTTCTCTGCTTCTACTTTGAACCTCCGGAAGTTCTCCTTAGAATTGTG